GGTTCTATACATTCGGGTGACCGAGTAGCCTTCGCGGACCCTCGAGTATAAATATATATCTGAGCCTAGCCCCATACGAGTGCTTGCGGTCCCCCTCAGCCGAATTTTTTTGTTTTATCGAAGCTTTGGGACAGTGCACTCGTGTTACTTTTCTTTTCTTTTGGGATTTCTCCAAGATTTTCGTTTTTTTGTGGATTCTCTTTTTGTTTCTTTTTTTTTACTTGAGTCTTTTCTCGTTGATTTTCTCGAGTTTTTTGTCATGAGTCGTTATTACACTCTTCTTCAGATTTCCTGGACGACATTTCTTCTAGGCTTCGTTTTTTTTGCGATGCATTTAGATTTGTTATACTTAAGGAACAGCGGATCTCACGGGCGTACATGTTTGATTTACATTTTACAACACTTCATTTTTCTGTTTCTACTTGCTACTATTCTTTCTGTACAACATGTTATATTATTCATGTCTTTGTCTGCTACTGTACCGTACAACATGTTATACAATTCATGTTTCTGCCTGTTACTGTTCTTTCTGTACAACATGTTATACTGTTCTTGTTTCTACCTGCTACTGTTTTACATGCATCCTATTGTTTGTCTTGTAATGCACATTTTATGTTATATAGCTTTAAGCATGTCTTCTTTTATATAGGACATTTGGAGGACTACAACCATAGGGTCGTTTGATTTGAGATCGTAACTGGACACCCTAGACAACTTAAACTCTTCACGACAAGGAGTTTGGAACTAATATGTTGGATAGCACGAGGAACAACTTCAAGGTGGCTCCACATCACACGAACACATTCACATCACCTATTATCTTCTTTAGTTTAGCACTGCATGCTTAGTTACTTTAATATGCTATGTCTTAGTATAGAATAACCTAGTGGTTAGGAGCATGTTCAAAACTAAAACTGAACCAGGAGGTGCTACTACGAGAAGTTTGGAGCGAACATCAATTTGGAGTGAATACCGTGGGCAGCGCGGCGAGGAACAATTTTCAGGTGGATCTGCAGCAGCAAAACATCTTCACATCACATGAACATTTTCACAACACTATACACTTTTCTTAGTTTAAATAACAACCTATAGGATCACTCTTTAGGCTTTCCGTACAACTCTGTTGTACAATTATAAGTCCTAATGTTTTAGGATTCTGATGTTACCGTACGGTACGGTGTAAATTCTCCTGTCTTTTAGTATTTGCGCAATTCGATATTGTGTAAACATAAGTCTCAAATCTCAAATAATTTGCAGGATTGAAATATCAAATAATTATCATTTCAAAAACATAAAGTCAAACAATAGGATAGTTGGGAGTTCACCGGGTTTTCCCCGGATCTGTGATATCCCCTACTTTTCTTCCCTTTGAATTTCTTAAATAATTGTTCCTATTTTGAGCCATTCTTTTTTTATTTTCCTATGTCCAATCGTGAAACCTACTTTGAAATCTTGAAAGTAAAGCCATATGATCTTAATCGAGAGTTTTCTTAAGTGATTTCGATCATTTAAGATGTAATTAACTATAGGGGCTTGCCTCTATAGGGAACCAGGAAGGAACCAGGAACCTAGATAAAATAAACCTTATCTAATCATCGTATTAGGTAGGGGAACTTGATTGGTCTTTTAAAAAAATATTTCGCAGACTAAAACGGATGTCACAAATTCTTTAGTCTAGGAGATTGAACTTATATTTTCTATTACAAGTGATATATTTATTCTTTTGGATAAGTATATTACTTGTAATATTGTATTCAATTATCTAAACTATTTAAAATGTGAGACATGTTTGATTTCAACTATTTTAAAATTAAAATGTTACTTTTAAAAATAAAAAGGATTACATTCATATTTCAATTATTTTTAAATCACAAAATCACTATTTTTTTAAATCACGAAAGTTAAAATAAATAAAAATTGGTCGACAGTGTGTCTGTGGCCAATAGCAAGAGTTAAAATCATTAGAAGACCGTTCAATATCCAAGAGAGATCATCATCAAGATCTAATCAAGTTACAGTCACACCACCTGAAAAAAATCAAGGATATAACACTCCAACAAGAAAAAAAATAAATCCAATCAAGTTACAGTCACATCACCTGAAAAAGATCAAGGATATAACACTGCGGCAAGAAAAAAATAAAAGCAAATAATCTATATTGCATAAAACAAAAGCAACCGAAAATCCTCAAATCAGTCCATAATAAACATCAAAATAGTTCCCAAACAAAATAACCTAATATTAATGTTAATTTAGAAAGAAAAAAAAAAGAGAAAATAGGGGGGGCAGACTGGAACGCGAACTGGTCAGCAAATAAACCATAATGTCCAATTTACACGATTCCTAACCATATTTGCATCCCACATTCCGTGATAGGTTTATCCTACTGGCTTGAACTGAATATTCTGCTCAAGCACTAATCAGGTTTCAAAAGATTTTTCAATAACTGATGGGCAAAGATATAAGCAATAGAGAGGAAAATTCTTGCATGAATATTAGCATTAACCTGATCCAGAAAATATGATTAAAAGAAAATAAATAATTAGCAAAAGGATTTGAATGGATAGAAAAACATAACCTGAATTATAAAGAAGGTGAAGGAATACAAATCAGCGCGATTAAACTAACAGCTAAATCGGATATGATACATTAAAAGCCAGATTCATTGAAAAACGCATGCTAAAAACAATACCTCCTAATCCTGGAATTATTCCAAGTTGAAGTTCAGGAAGTCCTAACTGAGCAGTAGAAGTGGATATGCGACTATGACAAACCTGGGTAAAAGAAAACCAACAGAAATATTAAGCAGCGTTTGTGACCACTTTATTGTTTTGATTTGAATTATAACATGTTGATTTTGGTAGTTATTTTTAAAAATATTCAAAATATCTTTTTAAGTATTTTTGAGTTTTTTAAAAACTAAAAATAATAAAATATAACTATTATACTATCCAAACATGTTTTCAAAAACAAAAATAAAAACCAAAATAAAACAAAAAATATAAGTGAAGCCAAATGGGCCCTAAATATCGGAGGCTACTCAAGCACATGATGCACTAGATACGAGGATTAAAATAATCCCACAGGCATACCATTGCAAGCTCCAACCCACCGCCAAGAGCAAGGCCATCAATTGCAGCGACTGATGGTTTTCTTCCACCTGACAACGTGAAAAGGTGAGAAACAATATAGTTCCTCTGAAACTGGATATTTTCTGAAACTCAGAAACACCAAAACAATATTGTTAAAATCCACCTTCCAGAATATCGGTAAAAAATTCTATTGACATGGAACTGTTTCTTGGCGCCTCTCCTGTCAAGAAAAAAGAAGTAAATTCAAAAAGTGGGGAGGAAGAAAAGTTTGTCGAAAATGCCTTCAGTTTACCTTCTCCTTCCTTGAATGAAGAGATATCAGCACCTCCTGAAAATTTTCCTCCAGCACCTATTCAAATCATCAAATGAGCATAAAACCTTGAAAATGTTATGGATGCATCAGATAAGTTTGGAGAATTAGTGCGCACCTGTAAGGACAACTGCCTTCACATCATCTCTTCTCATGACTTGCTCATAATTTTCCTTCAGGCTGAACAGTACTGATAAAGGAAAATAAACAAAGGTTTGTAATATAATTATGTTGTTTTTCTTGAGCGCCACATAAATATCAGAATAAAGTTGGGAATCTCAAGTCACAAGGACATTTGGCAGAATTTTATTGTTATTGAATGGCAGCAGGACTCTATAGCTGTACAAAATGTATGGTCTATCAAAAAGCTGCATGCCAATACATCATGATATCAATCATTGCTGCCTCTCCATGACGCGGGCGCTGAATCAATGCCCGAGAAGCGGGGCGCTTCGTTCCCGCGGGACAGAAAACCAACGCAGCTTCTTGGGAACAGTAAGGCGGGATGGGATTGCAATCCTGCATGAAAGAGGGAGGCGGATCACGAACTCTTGCGATCCGGGGGTTGTTTCGCGTATTTGTCACACCCGTCTTCTTCTGGGAAGAGTTTTTATTTTCTAGATTCTTCTTACCTTGTCACCCCCTTCCTTTTGTGTAGTAGTAGGAGACTATAAATTGAGGTCCCCTATGTGTAGGAGTCAATTCTAGTGGTGTGCCTTCAGATCTCCTGTGTGGAGTGTCTTCCCACTAGTTAGGATTGTATCCGACGACATATGGTACTTCGGCTATATCCTACTCTGAGGTGGTGTAGTATACTTCCAATCTCCTTCGCTCCTTCTCCCGGACCTTTCTCCTACCACTCCCCTCAGCCGCCTACCATCCCAATCCCTCCACCTCACTGGCGCCACCTCTACTTCCCCAACAACCTTGTTGTTCTGCCTTGCTACAATCAATAAAACACCATCCCAACTTACCCAAGCCACCACCCGGCATTCCCAACCTCTTCCAACCATCCCGCCGATGCCGTCATCGCCTTCGGATCTCTTCCTACACCCCTAATCGAAGATTCGTCTGTTATTGTATTTCATTTATGTTTGAGCCATGTAATAATCTTATTTCTATATTAATAAAGATTGTTTGCTTGTTTGTTAGCTTTTTTTTTTTTTCTTTTTTCATTTTTTTTCAGTTCTTCCTACTAATTCATGTAGGTTCAAATTAGATATTCACATTGGACAGGTTTGATATTAAAAGTATTCCTTTGTGACAGCATGCGAGAAAGAAATGGAGGGAGAGAGATCAAGAAAAGCGTTTAGGATCACTTTTGATTTTTGTTTCTTTTTTTGTTTGTATATGTTTTTATTTAAAATAAAACATGCTTAGTGTATTATAACATGTTTATTTGTTTTTAAAAACACGCAAAATAACTTTTAGATGTTTTTAGTGTTCTTAAAAACAAGTCAATCTATTTTTTAAAACAAAAATGCACTTAACAAACATTCTTTCAAAATAAAAGCAAACAAAAAGTTGATCCCAAACAAGCCCTAAAGCTCTGATAAATATGCAGATTGCTCAACCACTAACAAACAAATACAACTCTAACCATTCACAAAATGCATGCAATGGGATTCCTTATAAAATGACGGAAAACGCAACAAAAAGAACTACGCAGTTAGGAGAACCTATAACAGCAAGAATAATAGTAACAATCTCATAGAAAAGGTGGCAGGAATTTCAAATAGATAATGTGACTAAAAGAGCTATAAAAAGAAAGGATAGTCATAATCTTCAGCATCAGCTAAAAGAAAAGCTTTCACTCAATCGATATACATTTCTAAAGTAAACCGCGGACGAAAATTTCACTTCCATATTTATATCAACTAGAATCACTCATTACAATTTAACATATTCCTAAAATGACCATTATCATTAGAATTATCCCCAAATTTTGTGCCCTCTCTCTCCATTTATTCCCACTACTGTTACATAGAGAGAGAACCCTATTCATCACAAAATTTTCTGCACAACAAATGATCATATTAACCTTGTTTCACCTCATTTTCTTTCTAAATTGTTAACATTAACTCTATGTAGCCGCATTACAGAAATCACACTGCCCTCTCTTATGTATACCCAAATCACACAAGTATTCTTTCAATATCTAATCTTCAATATATGCATTCTCATCATCTCTAAAATCAAATCACTTCTAATTTAAACAATGTCCATCTTAACATTCTCAATTTCCAAATAAAATTTAGCTATCATGAATTCTTTGTAACGCAAAAATCAATTTCAAATAGTATAATAAATCAGATAGCATTTTTTATAAACGTTATCCTTAAATCTCCATTAAATTTACACATTGCATATTACTACTGAAGCACTTAACAATTTAACTACCCAACTCTAAAATTTTCCAATACCTTATTTTATGCTAAAGACAAGAAAGAACTGTAATTTAATACATCGCTATTCAGTTTTATAGTACAAGCATATAAATGCCTATATATATATAGGGAAAAAAAAGGAAGAATTAAAAAAATACCATAACGAAAATATCCTCAATAATTAAGAATATAACTAAAATAACTAGTGCAAAGCCATAATATAAACAGCGAGTGCACATAATGATTTAGATAGGGTAACACTCCCCCACAAACCTTTTGTGGCAAGCAATGAACTAGCAAAGGTTTTGTTGCTCGAATGTTTCATTGCACAATAGTTTTTCATGTCCAGAGGTTATGAGTGTCATGATAGGAATGAAATCGACCTATGAAAGATAAAGTAAAGTGAATGGACGTAAGGAATTGGGTACAATATGCTAGAGGAGACACGAAAAGATCTTTAAATGGAGATATTGATAGAAAACATTGATGGAGGTATCAACAAAGAGCATCAATGAAGATTATTGATAGAGAGCATCATTGAAAAAGAAGCATATATAGTAAGGACAAAAGCTGCTAAAACATCCACTTTTGGAAATAGATAAATTATATAAGCCAATGAATCTTGCATAAAGATTGAGGACAATCGCTTCAATGGTCAACTATGAAGTGTGCAATGAAGTGTGCCTAATGGTCGAAAGTGAGCCCTTGAAAATCCTATTTCGCCGTTGCAAGGTGATCTCCGTGAAGATAAATAGTGGTATTTGGTGTAAATAATGAATTCATGTGCGAAAAGAATGACATGGAAGGTTTTAGCTTCCTTGAGTGCAATAGATATGATCAAAGGAAGTTGCCCTGGGCAGCATGATGCAAGCAAATGAAGTCGGCATAAAGTATCACGTTCGAGAAGGAGAATAGGATTTTACTGAGGGAGAAACCAATAAAGCACAAAGAATTCATAGTTAAAGAGGAGTGCAGAAGCAAAAAATGGAGATTGTAACTTCGAACAAGAGTGTACTATCACGAGGATAGATAGATTGTATTATTTCTCCTTTTTCATTTAACCAATTTTTGTTTTGCATTGCTAAATTTAATTTTTTAGTGTATTCTTCAATGAATCGAATAACAAAAGAAATAGAAGGTTTTCTCTGATTATTTTTGTTGTTTAGATCATCAAACAATATTTCGGATACAATTTTTCTTTCATCTTCTGTGATAACCTTGTGGTACCACTCTCTGAACTGTTTATACTTTAATTTTTTGAAATCCCTAGTTATGATTTCTTTAATTTTACTTCTTCTTTCGTGATAATTCATATGAAACTAAAATTTATTTCAGAAAGAGGGGGAGTATATTTTTTTCTTACTAGATATAATATTTGATTATATTGATATTTTTTATAAGACTTTCTACTGAATTTTCTTCTATTGAAGAATTAATAGTGAAAGGTAAACTAATTTTAGAAGAGTTATACATCTTTTAAGATTAAATTTAACTTCAGCATCTCCTTTAAAAGTTTGAATTATCTGGTCAATATCCTGATTAACTATAAACCTTCGAGTGATTGTCGCAGTTAGTGACCGTTGTTCTGGGAATGAAATCTCATTCCATCTAATCTTTCTATTCGTAGCAATATTTGATGCTAACAAATTACTTTTGATTATTGCTGTTTTTTTAATAGTAGAACATTTTTTTTTAATTTTAGGACATAAGATGTTCATTACTTTAAAATGAACTCTATAAGCCATAGTTATTGTCTTTGATCTAGTTAAAAATTTATACCCGTGTAACTGAATATAAAGTTTAATTGTTTCAAATAAATTTATGTCTGTTAAAGATAGACTGAAATTTAGAAACGTATTAAAATAAATTGATCCATGACATAGACTACTGTCAATAACTCATATAAACGATTGTGCTCAATTTATGCATCTATCGTCTCTTAGACAAGCAAGAATAGATGCATTTAACCATTTAAGTATTAAAGATTTAAATGTTATTTGGATTAAACCAATATGAATATATTAAAATTCTTGTAGACATTTCTGCAAATATTCGTGATTTATAATATTAATTATTTTTTTCTTTTTCATCTATGAAAATGAATTGTTCAACAGTTTTCATTGAATTTTTACCTTTAAAATCAAATGTACTTATTTTATATTTCAAAGTTTTATCAACTTTAGGAATTGTTCAATTGTTTGAATCCTTCATTAAGAGAGTATTCTGATATTTCAGTATTTTTTAAATGTTGCGTTCTCATTAAGAACGTTCTATTTAAAACGGAATTTAAACTAGAACAACTAGAATTATTACTTGAACTAAATGTCACGCATGTAGCATAAAAAACTTTTATAGATAGATTAGCATAATGATTTGAGTAGATCCAGTTTAAAGTTATATTGTAAAATAATATTATCAATCAAATAGTATGAGAATACTTTGAAATTAAACACATCGTAATACAAGGATTTACGATCCATAAACTCAGATAGGGATTTTCGATTATACAGCTATTAAATTTCAAAACATAACTTATATTTTTTAATATTATTTAGTTATCTTAAAACATAACAACTTAAAAAGGATTATAGACTATTTCTCATAATAAGGAGTCAATGATTTATAAGATCTATAACGGGTCTAACCCGATTTTGTTTTTACTAGAAACAACATAATCACCTCTACTAAGAGTATTATAATTATTCATGTATAAGAGTTTTTTACTCTATTTTAGCATAAGGCTATCATGACTCTGATACCAACAATGCACGGGTAACAGTAAAAATAAATTTTATTGCTTATAATAAAAACTTACACTACTCAAAGATTTATAGACGCTAGAAGGCTTTTTCTAACGCTCTCAATTTTTTTCTTCTAAAATTTGCGCACACTACTTACAACAATAGTATTTTATTTATAGCTGAGAACGAAACTAAAAAAAAATAATACAACATAAAGTGATGCTAAAAAGATATCACATCCGAAAAGTAAACTAAAAATACTAAATAACTGTAATCCATCATTATTAGCGGAGAAAAAAGAAACAAAAGTGAATAGTGGTTCCTACCAAAAGTATAATTTTTCAACTTCTTTATTTAAGTTGTCATTGTGACTATACCTCATACTATAGCAATTATTGTGGGCAGGATCACACACTAGCTCTAGTCGGCAGACTCGAGCTATTTTGTTGTTATGTTCCTTCATCATTGAATTTTCGTATTTGATCTCTTGGGCTATGGGCAACAATCTGGGCAAGCTCATCATTGGCTCACTCTTCCGAATCACCCATGGATTCATCATCTTCTTCCTTCTGAATTAACGGTGTTTGGAAGATTTTCATAAACTATCTATCATAGCTTTTAATAATTCTCCTATTGATTTGATCTATAGAGTAATGGATATTTCCTCTCGAATCTTTCAAAGATATCAAAGAAATAGGTTCCCACAATATTAGAGATAGGAATATTAGTTGCTTCATATTTTTGCAAAATACCATTAATCTACTTAAGTTTGTTTTTCTTATTAATTTGAGACCACCATTTTATCAAAAAATGTCATTGCAAATATAACAGATTAAATTGATCTTTACTAAACAATTTTTCAAGAACCAAATCCAAGGAATTTAA